TCAATTAAGGTGCAGAGGTGTTCCTGCCTTCAAGGGAAAGCCTGGTTAAGAATTTGAAAACATGTAGCTACTTTGTTTAGCATAAATTGTAGTTAATTTATTCCCTTTGTACCAATAACCTCCTGTTCGGTTTTCTGTCTAGAACATCAGTGTGGAGTTATACAGCAATAGATGGAGGCTGTGCTTGTATGACTCACGCCTTCATTGCAAGGAGCATTCATCTTTCACAGAGATACAAAAGAGCTAAATTATGCTAATTGACTCCCAAACCCATCTAGCTTAAGTTCCTGCTTTCAGAAGACAGCAGTGAATGACAGTGTCGGTGCTCTATGCACGGTTGCACATGTGAACAACTAGGATGAGCATCACCCCTCAAGGTAGTCTATAACGAAATAATAACCAGTAGCCGTAAAACATTAAGAGACCACAGAACTGTCGTACAAAGTGCCATATTTGTGCCAAGTGTCATTTTGTACAGAACATTGACACCTGCATACTCAAATGACTTCACTGTTATTAAAGCTCTCTTTTCCAACCACTATATCTTGGTGCCACCTTGGCAGTCACAGTTGAGACTGAGTTGCAATCCACTTTGCCACCTTGCCTTAGATGGCTTTGACAGGCACCCTCTGATGGTCTAGAGGGCTGAGCCTGCTGGACAGCTCCTGCACAGGTACACATGCAACCTCCTCTATCTAACCCTATGGAATCATTTGTGGTCCCTGCCAGAGGGGAACGGATGAGGTGAGCCTCCTCTAGAGGGTCTTACATTGGCATTTCCTGGGTACCACCTTCCTGTTAGTGAGCAATGACATCTCTCTCACCCCTTGAGAGCATGACCCACCTGGAAGAGGTCAAGGTCCCTGGGACCACTGACATGTAGCCAGTAAATTAATCCAAACAACCTCAAGCAATGGAGTGAAGGTTCCCTTGCACATCAGGCTGATACTGATTACTCTAATGGATCTGGCTCTCATAATATCTATTGCTTGTTCCATGGAGGAAGCGATGCACTCAGGCTGGAGCCACAACAAATTTCTCTGCCCTTCACTCCAGTTTGCGCACGATCTCTAGGATGATAACTCGAGACCATCCCAGCTGATGAAGGCAACCTGACCAGAGATGGCTGAAGAGTTCAGTATCCACGTGTGATTCAAAAGAACCTGGTTCCTGTACCACAAAAGGATAAATGATCTGCACTCATGTGTACAACTCTCTATCATGCGCCATTGAGTGAGAGTTAGCATTGTAAGCTTGCTACTGCAGATGACAGCCACACACAAGACTGGGTGCCATTTATCTTCATCAGACCCCTCACATGAAATCAATGTCCATCACTTTATTGCAGCTACCAATGTAGTGCCACTGACACTGCAGTAATGCTGACCAGATGTTGTAACCCAGAAAGTCCTGGCAGACGGTAGGATTCTCTGCCTGACTGCCCATAAAATCTGGTATGAATACGAAATGAGCTGAGAACCTTGTCGCACAAGAGAACACAACCCACCCCTGAGTGGATGTACTTCCCATTTTTAAACATGCCTCCAAACAATCTCAAAAAGCAAAACAAAATACCAGCCATGAACTTCGCTTTGTTATATTAGTCATAGAATGATACATCACCAATGTACACTTCCATATAATACCATTCTGCTCATTAAATAATAAACAAGATTCACTTTTAACACTCAGATGTTCAAGTGAACTAAATAATACATTAATGTAAATAGACTATTGAGCTTTTCAGCTTGTTTGTAATTAGTTTCACATTTTCAATTCCACATGATTTGGGTTAGCAATATTGGCATTTTTTTGGATTATATTCTGCAGAATCAGTTTTGTGGATTAGTTAGATGTGTTTTTCCTTAAATGAGAAGAGAGATAATATTATTAACAAGATTCTGAGACTGCTTGTCAAGCTGGATTATGAGGGGGGATATTTTCTCTCATGGGGAAATCTAGAACTAGAGGCTGCAGTTTCAGAATAAAGGGGTTTCCCATTAAAGACAGACTTGCGGATGAATTTCTTTCAGAGTTGTTAATCTTTAGAGCAGTTGAGACTAAATATATTCAAGGCAGAGTTGGACAGATTTTTGATCTGTTGGTGAGTCATGGATTATTGAGTGTAGGCAGGAACATGGACTGAGGGCACAAACAAATCAGCCACGATTTGACTGAATGACAAAGCAGGTTTAAGGGCCCAAGTGGCCAACTCCTGCTCCTATTTCAGGTCTGCTCCTGGTTCACGTCTGTCCAGTAGCTGCTTGACAGTAGATTCTACTTTCACAGAACATTGTACCTTGTTTGTCTATATACAATACAATTCTGTAATACAATTTGCATGTATTCACACTTTTAAAGTTTCAGATTGTTTGTGGCTCAGTGAACTTTTCAAAGTAGGTGCTGCATTTAGACATTATAGATCTTACATTAGTAAGCAAATATCTGTACGAATCTGCCATTATTCAAAAGGTGCTGAATGATACACACTCGGGAGTGAAGTACAATGACAGAAGTCAATCATGTGATTCAGACAACAAATAAAGCAAAATGTGAGTAATTTACACAATCGTCTCAATCCTAAAGCTCTATAATAGAGCGTTAGTGTGTTTATATAAAATTATGCTAGGTTTTTCTCTGCTGATGGGGATCTTTCCCATTTAAGCTTACATGCCCCACTTCTGCAGCACTCTTACACCCTAACTCTCATGCAGCTTCATTTGATGACAGTAGGACCTTCTACAGTTATGGAAAAAGGAAAAGAGTAGTGAAAGTGAGTACTGGTCCTTGAAGAGGTGATACTGGGGAAATAAGGATCAAAAACAAGCATATGGCAGAAATGTTGAACAAATATTTTGTATCAGTCTTGACAGTGGAAGACAAAAATCACCCAAAGAATAGCATAAATGCAACAGACAAAGAGTGGGAGCTGTGAAAGTAGGGAAAAGGGGAAACAGAAAGGACAGTCTTTTCGGAGAGGGGACCATACTTGTTCTATGATAGCCATTGCCAGCTTAGGCTCATCACCAGATGATTTCAGCTGGTGACCCCACTTTTAGGGACTTAGTGTCATGGATGAAAGGGCTGACTATGCACAAGCTATGAAGAGTCTATGAAAATAGGGATGTCTTGCTAAAGCTATACAAGGCACTAGTTAGACCACAGCTGGAATACCAAGAAGAGTTTTGCTCACTTTATCTTAGGAAAGATACACTGGCATTGGAGGCAGCCCAGAAATGGTTCACTAGGTTAAACTCATGTGTGGAGGGATTTTCCAATGAGGAGAGTTTGAGGAAGTTGGGCCTGTCCTCTTTGGAGTTTAGAAGAATAAGAGGCGATCTGATTGAAACAGACGTTTTGACAGGGTGCATAAAGAGAGGTTGGCATTGTGGAAGATCTTCAAATAACCTCAGAATATGGGGTTGCCCACTTAAGAGATGTCCATTAAGACAGAGATGAGGGGAAATTTCTTATCTCAGAGGAACATGAATCTGTGGCATTATTTACCACAAAGGGTTGTCGAGGCTAGTCTGTTATGTACATTAAAGTCTGAGATAGACAACTGATTAATCAGCAAAGGATTCAAGGGTTATTAGGAAAGGACAGGAAAATAGAATTTAGGGTTATCAGATTAGCCATGATTGTACTGAATGGCTGGGCAAACTCGTTGGGCTGAAACGGCATACTTCTGCTCTTAAATATTATGGTGTCAAATATGCTTATGATGAAAAGAAAGATAAAAAGTAAGTTGTCTGCAAGTTACAAAAGAGTCTTCAAAAGAACATAGACAAGCTAAGTGAATGGGAAAAAAATTGGCAGATGAAATATAAATGTTGGTAAATGTAAGGTTGCCTACTTTGCCAGAAATCATTTACATTGAGGGGTTGTAGAATGCTGCAGTGCAGAGGGATCTGGGTGACCTTGCACATGAAGCACAATAACTTACCAGGCAATTACAGCAAGTAATTAGGAAGGCAAAGGAATGTTAGTACTAGAATAGGGACGTCCTGCTGCAACTGGATATGCATTGGTGTGACTACAGCTGAAATACAGTCTACAGTTCTGGGCTCCTTACTTAATGCGGGATAAACTTGCATTGAAAGCAACTCAGAAAAGGTTCACTAGGCTGATTCTTGGGACGAAGCAATTGTCTTATGAGGAAATGTTGAGCAAGTTTAGCCTATACTCAGTGGAGTTTAGAAGATTGCAATGTGATCTTTTTAAAGCACAAAAGACTCTTGGAGGCTCAATTATTAATCAACAAGGGAGTCAAGGGTTATCGTGGGGGGAGAGACAAAAGTGAAGTTAAGGGCAATATCATATTAATCATGATTTTATTGAATTACAGAGTAGGCCAGATGGACTGAATAGTCTACTCCTGCTCCTACTCCTTATGATTTTATGACAGATGATCTGTATAGATGATTTTGAAATATTTAGGTTTACAGCTGGAATATTATCAAGTCAGAGTTAAATCATAAACAAGACAATAAAATTAAATTTCAACAATACTAAACCTTCCATTGTTGTTACAATATTGATCCCATTAGCTACACCTGAGTCTTATTATTAACACAATCAAAAAGAAATATTTATCCAATCAATCTAATACTTGTTGTTTAATGTACACCAATAGATGCGTAATCACTCAAGAAAAGGGAAAGTTAAGCATATAGGTTGGACAAAGATCAGAACATCAGGGGTCCAGTAGACTTCATCATCCCAAGACATGTGAGTGTTCCATCTTCATCCCAGGTCTGGTACATGCACTTGTCTCTATTAATTAATATTTTGAAAGCACAATACTAAAACATGACAACATTGTTTTATCTTCAGACATATTTCCTCATCATCACAACTTTCCCAAACAATTGCTCAATTTTCCAGCTTCTTTTACATTTATATCACAACTGCAGCAATATTACAAAAATATTCCATAGGAATAGAGATGTGAGAGACTTTGGCAATTTTATTTAAAACGACAACAAAAGAAAACTTACTGAGAACATTCTGCAGTTTTGCCTTTACTCTGGTAATCCATGATACATTGTATCAAATGATTGTTTTCATCCAACATCTAAAAGCAAGAATCATCAGAAACTTATGGTAAATATCCAAAACTTTATGTGATATTACAGCTAATTTAGTACTCTTAGCATTTAAATATTCACTTCACCAGGGGACAGTACAAATGTAATAAAACTACAGTACAATGTTCATTGTAAATTAAAATAACATTAAACAATAGTGGCGGACTAGTTTGCAATTGCTTCCTCATTTTGAACCACATAACAGCCACTCAGTACTATTCAACATTGCTTGAGAACGAGCAAAAGACCTGTGCATACAAGTATCTATTTTGATTTCCTAACCTCAAACAAAAGTAACACTGTCTGTTTAAGCCTCAATTCTCACATCACAGCAAATGTATAAATTGGACTGCTACATTTCAGTTTAAAAGTGGTTTCTGTCCCATCAAGGATATGACCTCAGCTGAGGCATACTTATACTGCAACTAATACTGCAAATAATACATCAACCATACCAATATGTTTGTATAAGAGTGCTCTCTCAATTTTTTACAAAATATAGGCATCACACCTTTAATATAGTCTTTGATTATTTGATTAAAATATCTATTCTTCATAATCGAAGAATGACATTCCCCTCTTCTAACACTACACTTTCTCTTCCTGGTATTCAGACATTCCTGTACAAACATCACTCACCAGTTAATCATTAAGAGTGATCCAATCCAGTTGTGTTTGAACTCGGAAAATTTGTGCCAGGATAGGCATTCATCAATCATTTGAGAAGCGTATGTTACCTCCCAAATGTGATGTATATATTTTAATGAAATCCAGTCATTGGTGACTCAACAAAATAAAAATAAAATTGGCGTTCATGTTCCTCGCTAATTATTCAGTACTTTGTTTTTACAAGATTCCATCCTACATGACTGTTAGTTATTTTCATTCCTTGAACATTAGGCAGCTCTTACAGCAAATTATTCTAGTCTCTAATAAAACTGAAAGATTAAATTAAGAGCAATAAAATTCTACCTTTGTGTAAAATTTACAACATTTTCCTTGGAAAATTGGAATGTTAAGACCTTACATACGAACAGTTGCAAATGGCATGGCACGGAGTTAAAGTTCCAGCAGCCATATAAAATTAATCGCAATGTGGATTTCACAAGCTTCAAAATCTCCCCTCCCCCTACCGCAACCTAAAACCAGCCCAGGTCGTCCCCGCCTCCATGACCTCAAGCCCCACCCCCATCTCCTACCTACTAACCTCGTCCCGCCTCCTTGACCTGTCCCCTCCCTAACTCCCCACCTACACTCACCTTTACTGGCTCCATCCCCGCCTCTTTGACCTGTCTGTCTCCTCTCCACCTATCTTCTCTTTTATCCATCTTCTATCCGCCTCCCCCTCTCTCCCTTCCCCTCCCCCATTTCTGAAGAAGGGTCTCGACCCGAAACGTCAGCCTTCCTGCTTCTCTGATGCTGTGTTCATCCAGCTCTACACCTTGTTATTTAAAATTAGTGGCCCATTCTGTTTATGCAAATGTACAAATAAAATGTGAGGAAACCTTCATTGTTTTGAGCAAGTTTAACTGCTCAGTTGAACAGGCAGCCTTTTCCCCTCATCTTCCAAACGGTATGTAAAACTGAATTTTCCATATTTAAAGTTCGTTTTGCACCAATATTCTATTTTGCGTTTACCTACAGGTTGTTCCCCTTACCACCCACCCCTGATCCCAGCACCGCCCCCCCCCCACACACACAGACAGAGCACCTTTCCCAATGTTTGTTTATAATCGGCCATCCCTCTAACGTTTGCCAAAATAGGTCACCAATCTGAAGGGTTAATTCTGTTTCTGTCTCCACAGGTTGCCGCCTGCCGTGCTGAATATTTCCAGCTTTCATAATATTTTTCATTTCGCCATATATTTCTGATTATTACTATGGAGTATTCACCAGCCGTTTTCACGTTAAATCTATTTTATGTATAGGTGATTTCTATCTAATACCATTTCCCCTCTCCCAGGTAAAACAGGATGACAGAATGAACCTATGGAAAGATAGAAAAGTATACAAACATCAGTATTGGTGGCTACTTGACTAACTATCAATATAAAAAAAATGTTTGCACCATAACATAAAAGGGAGTCCACTTTTTTTATTTTTGCCATTTAATTTCTTTGTGATCAAATGCGTTGGAGTTTAAAGATATGGTGCATGGCAGGTATTCAGTTCAGTGCTATTACAGTCCTCTGGAATTGAATGATTGTGATCTGATTAACTGGCTACACATTTTTTAAAATCTGTGCACATACAAATAGATCACAGTTAACCTGGAGGAGGAGAAGGGAAGGGGGGCGGGGGTTGGTTGTTAATGTCGATGGTGACAGAAACAGATGCGAAGTGGTGAGTGTTTAGCAACAATGCTCCCTGTCCATCGGATGGCAGCACGATGTTTTACTGAGCAGGATGCTGATGAGGTGTTGATTGCTGTCTGCACTGACACCTTTTCTTCTTCGCCATTATTAATCCACCAAACTCCCAATGTTGTCCCCCTCATCACCACCACCCAGCTCACTCACCTCTTCCATCGAAACCAGCCACCTCCCCACCACCAAAACCCAAATAGCCCTCACAGAATTGAATCCCGAACATCATCTGGGTAAAGTTTGGCGATTTCCAGCTCGATTCTGCGTGGGGGGGGGGGGCGCTAAGGGAAAAGATCCAAAATCAACTGCTTGGTCGCCCACAGTATCGCCATCCCGCAGCTAACGGTTTGACGAATAAAGCACCTGAGGTCTCAGAGGCAGACCTCTTTTCTGTGACCAGAAGAACCTCTCCCTCCTTTCAAAAAGAAACCCCGGTGACAAGGGTTGTTCAGAAATGTCAAGTTTCCGTCCGTTACTTTGTACGGTTCAGTACGTTTTCAAGCTATTTTGGGTTTTTTAAATATAAATAACCCAATTTGGATCAGAAATACCCAAACGTTCTTATTCCTTGCTGGAAGTAGCACTTTTATTAAACAATTACTGATCGCATCGTTTAACACGCCATTCATTCGAGCCATTTCAAAGGATAAAATACATTGTTGCAGTTTATTTTGGAATTGAATTCGTTTTCCGGAAAGTGCAAGTAAGGTAAGATCGCTTTTAGTGGTTTTACTGGCATGCCCAGATCTCAGTCCCTGCGAGCCTGTACACGAGTAAACTGCACATTTGATGTTATTTTATCTAAACGCACGTTTAAAAATCACGTGTCAATAATAGAGGTGCAATCGTTTGCTAAGTAGATTAGGTCGGTGTTTTACAGACAGGGAGAAAAATCCAATCTATATCGATGTGATTTAAATGGAATTAAACAGTGCCTTGGCTTCTTTAACCTCGGTTGCCCCATGTGTCTGCACTATCACACCTTGCTTTGTTCGGAGCTGCTGCATTCACAATCCTTGGGGGGGTGGGGGGAGAGAAGAGCAGAGGACACCAGTCCTGTCCCCAAGCCGGATCTTAAAATGATCAAAACCCGCAATTCAGAATTGTGAGAGATGGCCCGTTTGTCGCCAAAGGGAGAAGATGAAATGAATGGATAACTGGGGAATGACAAGGGGAGGGGGGAAAAGAGATTTATTTCAATGAAGGCAAAAATCGAGAGTCGCAGATTTCCTACAAAAAGGGGAGGGGGGAAACTAAATCAAATATTAAATAACAAGAATGTTTTACCTTTTGAATGGTGGCTTGAGTGACCTCCCCTTTCCCCCGCTGGCGAGCTGATGCAAATGCCACAGACATGATTTTAATTTTTCTCTCCTGGTTTTTCTCTCTCTCTCTCTCTCTCTCTCCCTGTCTATCTCTGAAGTCGCAGGATAGGTATGTAGTGAATGAAATAATGTAATTCCAGATGATGCTGTCAGTGGTGCAAATGCAGCCCGGGTTGATTGCAGATCCAGTGGTTAGGGACAGGGAGCTGTGGAGAAGGCAGCAGCTTGCAGCTGCTCTTTAAAGGCAGGGTCCGCCCTCTCTGACAAACCCCTCCTTGTGGTGGCAGCTCGGGGGACGGAAGGGGCGGGAAGACCGAGATGATTCGGCGTTTCTAGGTGGTGGAGAAGGGAGGCTTTGGGCCGGTTTCGCTTTCGCTTTCTCGCTCTTTGCGCCGCCGAGAAGGAACCATGAGCGCCAGCTACGACCGAGCCATCACCGTCTTTTCCCCGGACGGGCACCTCTTCCAGGTGGAGTATGCCCAAGAGGCGGTGAAGAAGGGCTCTGCGGCGGTGAGTATCGCAGGACCCGGGGAGGGGGAGGAGAAGGTGCGGGAGGCTGTAGACCCATAGGCCCCCCATACTTCCACCGGGCTGCGGCCTTGCTGCCCGTCTTCAGAAGATTCCCCCTCTCTATAAGTCTCGGGCCCGGCCCCAGTTACTTACCCTGCTTTGTAAAACCATTCTTTTTAGTTTTGTTTTGAAACGTTTATTTTCATTTTTTATAAAAAAAAAGCCAAGCAGGAAGGAATTCTGTGTCTTAAAAGTGCGCAGTTACTAAGACTTCACAGTCACAATTGCCAGGCCAATGTTGGTGAGATTTATAGGGAACAAACAGGTTCACTGCAATTCCATTCTAATCACTAACTTTTGTAGCCAAGTGAGGTGAAGTGCCCCACAACGGCCTATGTAACTTCTTGCAGTGCCCAAGCTCCTCTAGTGCCCAACAACCGAACTGCGTTTACATTGTTTACAACAATTGCTTTTGGTCTGATTTCAAGTGAGTAAAAAATCTGTGAAAAGAAATCCCAAAGTTAGCTGTGGTGCCTCGATAGTTATGTTGCCTTTTGGGAAGTAAAATCCTGATTATGGTTTAAGACTGTGAATTGAGTAGTACCAGGCTATACTGGTGATGTTATTTATCCTGTGCTATTCAAGAAAGAGTTTTGAACAATTAATGAGATCTATGCCAATAATGTTATTCCATAATCTTGTAGCTAATCTCTTCCAATATTTCATTTTAAGAAGTAACACTCCTCCTATTAGGACCCTAATGTTTGTGTCTTGCACCAGATAAACACAGCTTAATTAATTGCAAAATTAAAGAGTGAGTAATTGAATTTTATCTTTATATTTTTATCATGCATATGTGTTGCATGAGAAGATTAAGTATTTTCTTTAATATGCAAACCAGTTATACCCTTGACCACTCCTTAAGCAGGTTTAAAGAATCCCAGATGATCAGAGAGGTATTATAGTTTAAGAATTGATGATGGAAAATTGAATAGTCAAAATGGTGTTTGTGCAGAAATTACCTAGGTCAGAATCAGAAATGGGTAACAAATGTTATTCACCATGGTATTTTGCAATATTTGGTTACATGGGATTATGTGATGGGTACAACAGTCTGCATCTAATTAAGCAGACAAGTAGAATAATAGCAAAATGAATATTAAATGTAAGTACAATGAATTACAGTTTCTCTTTTAGGGATATTTTGATAGAACCCAATCTGTATAAAATTTCAACTTTACACCAGTGCTAAAATTATGATACTGTAAATTTAGAAACTCTTGGCTCCTTTCAGGAAAGAAACAGATTCAATCCAGAGAAACACAGTATAAACATTTACATTTTCACTTGCAAAAGTTCAACAAGTTAACATTTGTCTGTGAATGTAGCTTTGAAAACAGTTTCACGCTTCACAATTTGCATTTACACATCAGTAGTCCTATAAAGGGATATAATAATTTGAAACAAACCCTTTTTTATTTTACAGGTTGGTGTTCGAGGAAAAGAAATTGTAGTCCTTGCAGTGGAAAAGAAATCTGTAGCCAAATTACAGGATGAAAGAACTGTAAGGAAGATCTGTATACTGGATGACAATGTTTGCATGGCTTTTGCAGGTGAATGAGACTTTTATTCTTTTGCTGAAAGTGAATGTTACCCATTCCTAATGACTTAGAAGGTAATTAAGAGTTATTCATATTCTGAAATCAGTAGGCCAGACCAAGTAAGGACAGCAGATTTCCTTCCCTCAAGGGCATCAGTGAGCCAAATGACATTTTATGAAAATTGATAGTTTTGTGGTGAGCATTGCTAAGACTCCTTTTCAGTCTCAGATCTTTATTATTTGAATTTAAATTCCAACACCTGTTGTCATGGGATTTGAACCCATGTGCCCAGAGTGTTAGCCTGGACCTCTGAAATATCGATCAGTAACATCACACTGCCATCATTTGAGTCACTGAAATTCAATTGAATTATTTCTTTGCAACTGTTTTAAAAGCAACTGTTTAACTTTAAATGAGGATGGAGTTAGCTAAAGAGAACTGGGCAGATAGATTAACGGGAGTGACAGTACGTAAGCAGTGATCAGATGTTTAAGGAGGTAATTCATGACTCAGCAAAAATACATTTGAGTAAGGAGGAAATATTCAAGATGGGAATAAATTGACTATGGCTAACTAGGCAAGTTAAGGACAGTGTTAATTTGTGGGCAGGGTGGATATAAGCATATAAGGATGCCGAAGCCTGGAATAAATTCAGAATCCATCAAAGGAGGTAAAAAAAATGTAATGAAAATAGAGAGAAAGTAAACTGAGGCAAACTAGCACTAAGTATAAGAGTCATAATAAGAGCTTCCTTTAATTATATGAAAAGGAAAAGAGGGGTCAAAGTGAACATAGGCCCCTTAGAAAGTGAATCGGGGGAAAATGAAATGGTTTTGGAGAACAGGAAGTGGTAGAGGAGTTAAAAGGTATTTTGCATCAGACTTTATGGTAGAAGATACTTCAAATCAATACTAAATAATATGCAGGAGGAATTAAATACCATGACAATCACTATAGAAGTAGTATTAGATAAACTTATGGGACTAAAGGCAAATAGGTTCCCTATCCCTGATGGCCTGCATCCTAGGATCCTAAAAGAGGTAGTTATAGAGATAGTGAATGCATTAGTTGCATTTTCCAAAAATTGTTGGATTCTGGAGAAGTACCAGAAGGTTGGAAATCTGTTTACGTGACATCCCTATTCAAAAAGCCGGTAACTATAGGCCAATTAGCCTAACATCTATTATTAGTAGGTATTGGAATCGATCACAGCAGGTTTTGTTTTAACTGGTACCTTATAAACTGGCAAAAATTATATACATTGTGAAGGTTACTGTATTATTCTATCCGATTACTATAATTTTTAAATGTAATTATCTCCATGTAAATATACCCGTTCAATTAAATGGCCTCATGAAATATCAACAGTTGATTCAATTTTTTTTCCCTCAAATATCACAATGTCCAAACAGTCAGTTGAGGGTGCGGGTGAGAAGGCTGTCTGCCAGTGAGCTTTTATTAAAGGCAAAGTTGCATTATTATTTAAGTGATTTCCATTGTAAAAAAAAAGGCATACACATCACTGTTATACTTGCATTACATTTCAATTACTGAATGTGTTTTACATTGATTATATGTGGACCTCTTGATCAACTGGAATATTTGATCAATCAGCACACTCCAGGTCCTGTAGGTGATGGATAATAAAAGGTTTACTCTATTAAGGAAATGATGTCAGCATATTGGGAAATCATAAACTAATTGAGCAGACTCCGTATGGCTTCGTGAAGAGTCTGACTAGAGTTTTTCAAAGAAATTTCAACCAGTGTGGATAGAGGAAATCCGTGGATGTGTTGCATTTGGACTTCCAAAAGACACTCAACAAGGCGCCTCCCAAAAAGTTGAGTCAGAGAGATGTGCAGCATGGAAAAAGACCCTGTGGTCCAACTCATCCAAGCTGACCAGATTTGATAAATTAATCTAGTCCCATTTGCCAGCATTTGGCCCATTTTCTGATTAAACTCTACCTATTCATACCCATCCAGATTCTCTTTAGATCAGAGCGTTGCCCACCACCACCACCACCCCCACCTGGTGTTGGAGTAAAAGAAAGGCATGGATAGAGTTCTGCTCATGGACAGGAAAAAGCAAGTGGGGATAAGGGGATCTTTTTCAGGTTGTTGACCTGTGACCAGTGGGATTCTACAGGGATCAGTGCTGAGACCACAAATGGTTCACAATATATATGAAAGACTTGGAGAAAGGAAGTGAATGTAGCCACACCCTCCTTGGTTTGAACTACCAGAAGGCCAAAAGTAGCAGATGGAGTAGAAGTGGGAGGCCCTGCCACCTTTGAAATACCCTGAAGAGACATTGGAGGTGGGAGGGTGATATTGGGAGGGGCCTGTGTGTGGTTCCACTTTTTGGCATTGCCCTGTCTCTGTGGAGAAGGGATACCTGGGGTGAAGTCAAGATTCCCTGTCCATCTGTTGTCTAGCCTTTAGTGCTGTTGGTTGGAGTAACCCTTAACCCTTAACAATCTGGGTAGCATTGTTTAATTAAAAGCAAAATTTGCTGCAGATGCCAGTAATCTCAACTAAATACAAATAATCCAGAGACCATAACATGAAAGAACCTGTTCTTTAATTTAGTTCTTGGTACTCTCCAAATACAACCTCAATCACAGTGACAACAAGGTGCAGGGCTGGATGAACACAGCAGGCCAAGCAGCATCATAGGAGCAGAGAGGCTGACGTTTCGGGCCTAGACCCTTCTTCAGAAAAGGGGGAGGGGAAGGGGGTTTTGAAATAAATAGGGAGAGAGTGGGAGGCGGATAGAGGAGAGGATAGGTGGAGAGGAAACAAACAGGTCGAAGAGGCGGGGATGGGGCCAGGAAAGGTGAGTGTAGGTAGGGAGTTAGGAAGGGGATAGGTCAGTCCAGGGAGGACGGACAGGTCAAGGGGGCGGGATGAGGTTGGTC